GAAAACACAAGACAATATCCAAAATTATTCCTTTTGTTTTAGAAAAATGGGTGCAAAACGTCTTTCTTTATATTATATGATAGCTTGTGTTGTTATGCAACTAATATTGTATATAAATAAAATAATATAAAATGTATACTCTTAAGTAATCTTTTATACTAAAAAAATGTAATATTTAACTGTAAGATGAAAAATGGATCGTCTCACGAAGCTTAGACAAAAGAGGTTGACCAACGTTCATAACCTGTACAGAAAAAGAAAGAGGCTCTAACGCTAAAGTGTTAATCTAAAGTCCCATTTGTTATTTAGAGAGAGGAATAGTATCACATACCTGAAAAGTGGAGCGAGTCCCTCTATTTATAGGCTTTGATTCAGGATCTCACATGCTCAATGGTTACAACCACTACGAAATTTGCAACGTGTTGTCAAAAAAGTGGTTAATAGAAGTAAGGCGTGAATTTGCGATTGTTGGCTCGACCTTTGAGAAAAGGCATGCATGATCATGTGATGTATTTGATTGCTCGTCTGATGAAGGTGGCTAGGCTACTTTGTCATCTCTTTAGACTGCTATAAGTTATTAGGGTGACATGGCACCTTCCAATCTATAATTCATCGATGTGTGTCTCTCGCTCGGATGTCAGATTCCTGCCGCCAAGCGTAGTACAATTGAGAGTTGTATGTTGTGTTCGGTAAGGATGAATTGTTCCCGAAAAAGAATCTATTGATTCTCTCCCATTGGTTGGACTATAGGTGCGATGATTTACTTCACGACCTTAGACGTCTTTGGACTCATGGAACCTGCTTTCAAATTGAGGGAAAAATCAGCGGCTATTGGCCAGCAACTTCCGTACACAGGTATAGATTCATTCTTCGTACCTGGTCCAACTTCACAACCCTTTACGGATTGATTTGAAGTCGGTCTTGTTTGGTAAGACTTAATTTGATAAAGAAAAGAGAGTGCTTGACCGGAACAACTACTTAATTTTAAACTACCTCAAATACAAGAAAATAAGATACTATTGAAACTTTATCATCTCTATCTATAATTATGAATAGATAATTTATACAAATTAGGCATGTCTTTCTTCAACTATATGCATTTAAGATTATAACAATTATAGTCTTAAAGCGGACTTAGGAATTTTCTTTTGAAAAGCTTTAAATTTATAGAACAAAATGTATATATTGTCAACACGTAATTCATTTGCAATACAGTTTAAATGCTGTAAATGCAAAATAAAAAAGCGAACTTCGTCTAAGCGACGA